ATGCAAATTGGATAATCGGCTCAACAGAAACAAAGTCCACAAGTGGATATATTTTTACTGTTGGTGGAGGAGCAGTATTTTGGAAGTCTTCCAAACAAACGTGCATCGCTCGCTCTACAATGGAATCAGAGTTTATAGCTTTGGATAAAGCCGGTGAAGAAGCTGAATGGCTTCGAAATTTTTAGAAGACATTCCGTTCTGGCCAAAAACTTTGGCTCCTATTTGCATACATTGCGATAGTGAGGCTGCAATAGGACGGGCAGGGAGCGTTATGTATAACGTAAAGTCTCGTCATATACGACGAAGACATAACATCGTTAGACAACTACTTTCTAGTGGAATTATCACTATTGATTATGTAAGATCAAAGGATAATGTGGCGGATCCGCTTACAAAAGGCTTAACTAGAGAGGGAGTTGAGAAATCATCTAAGGGAATGGGACTGTAACCGAGGACAAGTCAACATGGCGGTAACTCTACCTAGAATTTTGGATGTTCCGAGATCTAGGTTCAAGGAGCTCAAACAAAGTTGTGATTGACCGGTTCAACATTGTCAAAGTAAAATCTTTGGTCCCTTCTCGTGATGAAGACAATGTTCAGTAACAAGGATAGAACTTTACACGTTCTTTAATGATTACCTAAGTTTGATGTGGTATTTATCAAATAGTGTCAATCTAAAGGATTACACGTTTAGGAATCACCTATGTAAGTGTGAAGTGGAAGCCGCTTCAATGAGAATTCTGTAAGGGCAATTCTCTACGCACTTATGAAACCAGGCAGTGTTCATGGCTGAAACGAACACAACAATGAGAACCAAAAGACGGTTAAAGATTGGTTGTGTGACATATGGTTGTCTAGGTATACACCAAAGTTCGACGGTTCAAAGATATCAAATCTACCGATTGACCGAGTATATCCGACATATGTTCACTACGGAAAGTTCAAAGGGAAACCTACTTATCCAGATGCAATTAATCCTTACTTGCAAATCACACAGCTTTCATCTATGATCATTCTTGTTACAGCCATTCCCATTCATGTGGGGGATTGTTGGACTTTAAAGCATTTGGCTTCAAAGACTTTAAGCATTGGGCTTTAAAGTCTAAGAGTGTGAATTGGAAATGGTGGGAAATAAAATGGAGGGAAATGAAAATTTGAATGAAGTGAGCTTTTGTCTTGAACTTTGTCCCTCATTGGTGAGGGACAACTACATTTGTGTGTATATATATAGAATCACTTCTTAAAACTCTTAAAAGGAGTTGAAGAGAATGAATCCTCGCGCCGTCGTCGTCGTGGCTCAGCTCGGCTTCGGATTCGGATTCGGATTCGGATTCGGATTTGGATTTGGATTTGGATTTGGAAAAATGATCGATCGATAAGATTACTTTTGAACAAAATTTATTTAATTAATTATTTAGCCGCTGTCCGGGCGTGACCGCGGTAGGACCGCGCCAGAACACTGCTGCAGATTCAGAAGGCTACTCTGGCCGCGGTCCTGGCGTAACCGCGGCAGGACGCGCAAACTTCTGAACAGACACCTTTTCCAGAACAAACATCACACCTCTTCCAATAATTGCCTATAAATTCTGAGGCATGGCTTCGTTTTTAACACACTGAAAAATTACAAAACTTCCTTCTTTCTGAAAATACTGCATTCTAATTCGCAATCTCTCTCTCTCAAATTCGTAAGTGTGATTTTGCTCCGTTCTTTGAGTTCGTTGGTATCCTGCAGTTTGTATTGCCACTGTTGCAGGAAGGTTTATTCCGTTTCATCCTGGGAGGATTTAATCCATTACCTTGGCAACATGTGAGGGGGTTAAAATTCCTTAAGGACGCACAAGCAAATTGTGGACTCGGAATATTTCTTATTCTTTACTGTTTTCCAGTTTCATTTATTCTTCTAACAGTTTTCTGATTTTTTATTTTAACACAGTAGCGGATTACAATAATCAATTAGGTAGTATCCCGCTACCCGATAATTAACCAATTTCTCGCATATTAAGAATTATCTTAAATTACTTAAAATTCTATTTATTTTTAATACACTTTATACACCTCACTAACATGGTCATGTGGTGCCATATAAAATTAATACATACAGTATTATTTCATTAAAATATCCATGTTAATAAAAAAAGGCACATATTTTCTTAATATCTAATTTTTCTAATCTCATATAAAGAGTACAAATTTTTGTATAGATAATTCTTAAAATGGTAAAAAGATAACCTTCTTTTCTAGGAAATCTGGTACTGACCCGAAAAGGAAAGAAAATAACAACAAATGCATATATAAGAAACAAGATAAAGGGAAAGAACCCAAAATGATAGAAACTTCCTTAAGTTGGCAGCTGGCAGTTTTTTCTATGCTCCTTCAACCCTAGTCATTCTCCAAATTGAAGAAATATCAACAAATCTAAATAGTCAGCTATAGGTAGAACGAACTTCATGTAATGCTTCTCTAAATAGCCAGCATTTACATAACCAACAAAACATTGACAATATTTGTTAGAATAAACCAATCTATCAATGATTCTCTTCTAATATATTATTAATTGCATTCAAGTGTCTCCATATCGAATTAAAGTTAAATCCTGCTAGTATAACGTTATACTCAAGGTTTTAGCAAGAAACATAAGTGCACCTAGTGCACTAAGATACAAAAATAAATTATATATGTCATACATGGAATGCTGAAGCTTTATTTAACAAACAACCATCTATGACCAACACTTGCAACTTTACAAGATTCCAAATTGTTGGTAATAGTACCATGGGTGGTCCGTATTTATACACCCATAGAGTTTCCAGATTCCAGAGATTTGAAAAAGACGAAGGCAGAGATTTAACTTCTGTCCGAATGTTTAAGTACCTCAAATGAACCAATGTGCATATTTCATTCAGCAAAGAATCATTCACCATGATACAAAACCTATCCAGTTGCTAACACTCTAAGAAAGGTATGATCTTCTTTAGTTCCTTGAACTTGCAGGTAATTCTTGTTGAAAAGATAGATGCATTAAAACTCAATGTTTTTGACGTTTAGAGTTGTATCCATACTATGAAAATATCAATGCTGACTATTATTGACATCAGAATTGTAGCAATAGTTTGAGAAACTTTCCTGGAAAAACCTCCTATGCGTTCAGACACTGGGAAGAAGTAGTCTCTTTTGAGGATGAGTCTTCTCTTATGGATTGGGTTATGCAAATTTTCGCTGTTCAATTCTCCTCAAACTCATCCATGGTGGGCAGTTCAGATGCCAATGACAATGTTTTAACTTCCCAGAAGGTTAGCAGAACTGACTATCAGTATTTAAGTGCATCAACACCTGATATCATGCCATCCTTCTGTTCAATTGCTGGTTTCAGCAGCTTGGATGATTATGTCTTGCATGGTATATACAACATGGATGTTAGGTTTGACCAACCGTTAAATTTTCCCGGTCAAGACGCCGACTCCTTGATGGCTGATACTGATTCTATAACTCCACCATATTGTGAGGGTGATCATCTGCCTTTCTTCGACACTGACTATTCCCTTCCCAGTCCAAACTTTGCACCATCACCTGATCTACAGTGTGCTATCAACAGCTTTCTTGCTCGTAGTTCAATTCTTCCCCCAGATAAAGCTCAACGAAGATGGAAGATGCTATTTAGTGTTCTAAGGTGGTTTTCAGTAAGGAGGATTGTAAACAGAAGAACCATCATATCTTGAATAGAAGGTCTCACTATGCTGAGGCAAAAGAATCTGTAGGAAATTGCTGTCCGGTGCAAAATTGTGTGCAGTAGTAGAGTCACTTAAATTTCTTGTGGACATATGTGAAATTGGGCAGTTAGCGCCAATCATGCTGTCCACTTCCCATATACAAAACTCATGCCCCCATTTTTGTTCCCCTTTTTTGTTGTTGTTGTTGGGAAATCACAACTTTTGAGTCTTGTGAATGGGTACAGAGTCCTTGGCGCCAATCTGATGAAAAGTTATGTATATATTAGATCGATGTGTAGTGACAGCAGCTACCTTTGCTGCATTTTTTATTTTGTGCAAGGGCATATTTCCAGTATTTTTTTGCGTTAAATTTTGAATGGTCAGCATTATAACAGTGAATTACTAATGGCGGAGTAAATGAAAAATGTATCGCGAAAAACTGGACGTTCCCTTGCTGACGAGCCTGCATATAAACCAGAATATTGCATGACTGACTGATCTAATCCAGCATCTTGATCTTGCCATCCTGAAGGCAAATAACTTTTTCTTGGACACAGATCTATGGCGCTCTCTGTTTTTCCTTTTGAGTTATTACCAATTCGATAGTGTTATATTGCATGTGGTATCCTCTTAACCAGTGGCTCGAGTTATTACCAATTCGATAGTGTTAAATTGCATGTGGTATCCTCTTAACCAGTGGCTCCGTTGAACCAAGGGGTGTCAAGCGACACCCTTTCGCCGAGAAATTACACTATATTGCTAGATAATTTTTATTTTATTTTATGTATATTTACTCCCTCTGTTTCAATTTAAGTGAACATATTTCCTTTTTAGTCCGTTCCAAAAAGAATGAACCCTTTCTAAATTTGGTAACAATTTAGCTTAAACTTACAATTCTACCCTTAATGAGAAGCTTTTATAATCACACAAATACTCTGGGCCCTTTTTTGACTTATTTAGGACCACAAATTCCAAAAGTCTTCATTTTTTCTTAAACTTTGTGCTCAGTCAAACATGTTCACATAGATTGGAACGGAGGGAGTACTATACATTGACTCCCCTTGATTTTTCGTTGTATCTAATTATTTATATTTTGACACCCCTTGATGAAAATTCTGGTCCTTCCGGTATATCTTGTTTCCTAGTTAGCTAAAATTGATCGGGGAGTGCAGTCTTTTATAGAGAAATTATGAGACAACTCAAAGGTGTGTTATTCATTTCAGCGAGTTTTTGCTTTTCCCTTAAAACATACACCAATGATATAAAAGAGTTCCTAGACTCTCTGTTCAGCCAAAAAAGGTACACAAGTGACATTAAAGAACAATTTCAATACCAAAAAATAATAATTGCACTATTGCAGTATGATGCATCTTGTTTACTACTACATAACATTCAGTTGGGCAAAAAATTTCCAAGACGTTAACTTTGTACATGCCTATCTAGTAGAATTGGTGCCACCAATCATCTGGAACAATGTCTTCTATTCCACTCATTAGTGTTAGTTCCAAGAAGTCACTATTATCTGCGTTAAGATCTGAGAAGTCACTGTTATCTGTGTTAAGATCAGCTTCAGCACAATATTGCTCCTGAATACCAGGCAAGGATAATTGACCATATGCTTCTTTTGTCATCACGTACACTCTGTTGGTGTTGGCCCCATGATTCTCCAATGTAGCTTCATCTCTGTCATAAGTGGTCAAAATTTGGCTATTTTTGTTAAGTCCTCTCAAATAATTATCCTGTTGTTCAGCATACTCTGCGCTCATAATCTGATGTCGTTGGAAAATTGTTGCTGATTGTGAACTGTTGTAGTCAGGTTCACGCAACATACCTTCTATTACTTGAGCAACTTCTTGTTCCTCCATATTAACCCCATTCTTCCTATTTCTCTCTGTTATATTCTTCTTGATTCGGCAGAGAACAAAATCTTGTTTAGGAATATTGTTTTCTCTGAAGTAATCATCCCCCACGTAATATTCTCTCATCAGCCAATTAATCTTATCTTGCTTTGATTCTTTACTACTCCTAGTTCGATAAACATAACTTTTTCTGAATCCAACCACAGTGCCCTTACCATTCTTGATAGGATCACCGCCGGTTTGGGCTTTCCATGTCCCGTTGGCGCAAGTTCGACGAAACCTTTTATGTGATTCCTTCCGCTTCTTCAAGGGAGAAATAAAGTAGCCAATTTTCTCTTCAGGATGATCAGAAATCTCCCATGGTGGCCGGTCTCCATAGATTTCCCCAAGTCGAATAGGGCATTCACTGGGCAAAGACTCGCCTTTCAAGAACTTTTTCAGAAGGTAGATCAACTCTGCATCAGTAGGGTAAAATCGAACACTGGGAAGCCGTGATACCATCGACATGACGGTCTTTGATTTGCTATTATGAATAAAGGAATTAAAACAAGAAGGAGACAAGAATCGCAAGAAACCAACAACCCTTCAATGATCTGCAACTATTCTCTCAATGAGTATTGACTCTGCTGTGAAAATACAGAGAGAACAAAGAATTGGAGTATTGTGAAAGAAAATTTAAATTCGCACTGAAAACAGAGAGAGAAGAAAGAACGAATTATTACTACTATGGAAGAAGAACCTGAAAGACTACAGCGGCGGAAGCTAATGTTAGGTTCTTTATAAATAACTTAGGTTTCTAAATTAAATTCACGCGGAAAGACTAATTTTTTTAGGAAAGAACGGAATTTAGGAAAAATAGGAAAGTATTTGATAGTTATAAAGCCAAGAATTTAAAACTTGCTCCGTACTTCCAGGCATCACCCAATGGACTCCATAGGGAACATATTTCATATTTGTCAAGCTACATTACGGTGAACGAAGAGAGAGATTCCACATCTGCCAATCCATTTATTAGTACCACCTTTGAAATAGAATAATTTTATACTCTGAAAAAACAATCCAACATAAATTTATATCAATTTACTTAAAAGGTCGATCTGTATCTATTTATGTGGGGATTAAAGGCCCTGGCTACAAAATAAAAATGGTAAAAAATACACATTACGCCAAGAAGTAAAAAGAGGCATGGTAATGTATCTTCGTATTCCAAAACCAAGATAACAATATCAGAAAGTTTTGTTGTTAAAACCTATGTTGCTCGGACTCTCCGAAAATATGGCCCGATACGTGTCGGATCCTCCAAAAGTAGTACATTTTTTAAGGACCCGACACGGGTGCGGCTACATTTTGGAGAGTCTACGCAACATAGGTTAAAACATGAAAGAATCTACTTACAATAGCCCTTCAAATGAATTTAACTACTATAATCCAATATTTCATCTTTGTTCTTAGACTTGAAATATCGTATAGCTTCAAGTAGAAGTTCTCATTCCCATAAGAATGAATACTATGATTTGCGTTCTTCAAATAAGGTAAGCAATTCGTGCTTGGATTACATTATAGTGCAGTAATGTTAGAGTATTTATTATTTTGTTAAGAAAAGAGAATGAGTATGAACAATTCTTTCATGGTTCTCTACATCTTGATAATTGCATTGTAGCCACAGGATTGTTTGGAACTGGACCCAAAACATGGTCAGTTTGTTCTTAAATGGAACAGGACTACAGAGTATTGGGCTAGTGGTTCATGGAATGGTCGTATATTCAGCTCAGTGCCTGACTGGCTGAACACAGTATACAATTACAGCTATACAGACAATGAGAACGAGCTATATTTTACATATTCCCCTTTTAATAGGGCAATCGCATCAAGGTGGAACATGGGCCTCAGGACAAGTTCAACAACCATCATGGTCGGATTCGGATGGTTCCATTACTTGGAATCTACTCTCGTCACCGCCTAGAGAATGATGTGAGGTTTATACTAGTAGAGGTTTTTTGGCTGAAGAAGAAAAATAGTGCAGATGTTGCTCTATTTCTACTACTGCGCAGCTTTTAGACCTCGAGCTTTAGGATTTTTTGCTTTCTTTTTTCCCTCTTCTTTTCTATTCAAAGTGTCACTCCCCTTTTACATGAATGTGTGTGTATTGTATATAGATGTGTGGGTTAATGGTAAGATGAGTGGAGGGAGTGGGAAGTGAGCGTTAGAGGGTTCTACATTATGTATGTATAAGGTGTGTGTGTGTGCGCGCAGATGATTATGTATAGGGAAAAAGGCCAAATTTGTACCTCTAATATTGAAAATTATCCACGTTAATACCCCGTTCTACTTTCCGGCTAAAATGATACCTGCCGTTACTAAAGTAGGATAATTTGTACCTAAATCTAACGGATCTCCTACGTGGCAACCGGGTCCCCCATAATAATGTGCCAACTAGACTTTTTTTACCCGCCCACCTTTATATAACCCACCCCACTTTATAATAACCCGCCCTGCCCCACTTTTATTTTGTTTATTAGCATAGTAAAATATTCCCAACCCTTGTCAAAACCTTTTACTTTCATTTACAGAAAAATCTCTCACAATCTCTCTTCACTGTAAAAATCGTCTTCATCATGGATGCATACGAAGGTACCTATTTAAAATTAGTAAATCATCATTTCTTTGGTTTATTTTTGTGACGACCCGGCCAGTCGTCTCATGAGTTACCGCTCCGTTTGCTCCATTTCCGCTTCTTTATGCTTCGTTATCCGTGTTTTGAGGTATCGGGTTGGTCGGATTGAATCCGGATTGGTTTTGGTGAAGTTTGAGACACTTAGTCTCTTTTAGGAAGGTTTGAGTTGGAAAAGTCAACCGGATGTTGACTTATGTATTAGAGGGCTCAGATGTGAGTTCCGATGGTTCGGTTAGCTTCAAGAGGTGATTTGTGACTTAGGAGTATGATCGGAATGGGTTTTGGAGGTTCGGAGTAGAATTAGGCTTGAATTGGCGAAGTTGATATTTTGGCGATTTCCGGTTGGTAGGTGAGATTTTGATCCGGGGGTCGAAATGGAATTCCGAGAGTTGCAGTAGCTTCGTTATGTCATTTGGGATGTGTGTGCAAAATTTCAGGTCATTCGGACGTGGTTTGGTTGGGTTTTTGATCGAAAGCGTATTTTGGAAGATTTTAGAAAACTTAGGCTTGAATCCGATGTGTTTTGAGTAATTTGATGTTGTTTGAAGCGTTTTGATGATTGAAACAAGTTTGAATAAGTTTTTAGGATGTGTTGGTGCTTTTGGTTGAGGTACCGGGGACCTCGGGTGAGTTTCGGGTGGTCAATCTGACCATTTCGTGCCTTAGAGAATTGCAGAAATTGCAGGTTCAGCTATTGCAGACTTTTGGTCTTCGCGTTCGCGGGAGGACCCTCGCGTTCGCGAAGAGTAAGCTGAGGAAGGTGAGAATTTGGCATTCGCGTTCGCGAGTAGGCTATGCATTAGCGAAGGGCAGCGAGTTCAGTTCATCGCGTTCGCAGGCGTAGTGTCGCGTTCGCGTAGAAGAATTTGGGTCATGTGGATTGGAAGCCAAGTTGTGCTTCGCATTCGCAGAAGAGAGGTCGCGTTCACGAAAGGTCGCCTGGGTGAAGCATCGCGTTCGCGAGGCCTTTGTCGCGATCGCGTAGAAGGAAAAGTAGTCAACGTAATTTTGTGCTTCGCGAACGCGAGGCGTTGACCGCGGTCACGAAGAAGGAATGTCAGGCCTGGGCAGAATGTTTTAAAGACGTTTTGTTCGCGAAGGTGGGGGTTGTTTTCCACCATAGCTGCTCGTTTTGAGGGATTTTTGAAGGTGATTGAAGAGGGACTCAAGGGAAAACGTTTGGAGGTAAGATTCTTGAACTTAAAACTCGATTATCATGTGAATTCCACATAAAAATTCATGAAATATAAGCCTAGAATTCAAGAACTAGGGCTTGGAATTTTGGAGTTTTGATTTGGGATTTGAGGGGTCATTTGGACTCCGATTTTGGTGTTCTTTATATGCATAGACTCGTAGGGAGATAAGGAATCCGTTGATGTAAAAATTTCTGAGTTACGAGAAGTGGGCCCGGGGCTCGGGTTTTGCTAATTTCGGGATTTTTGGTCTTTTTCGATTGTTTTCGCTTGGGCTTTGTTCCCTTAGCATATTGTGACGTATTCGCTCTGACTTTTACTAGATTCGACGCGAGTGGAGGCCGATTCAAGAGGAAAAGATGTCGCGGAGTAGTATTTTCACCGGTTTGAGGTAAGTAACCATTGTAAATTTGGAACTGAGGGTACAAACCCCGGTATTTGACTTGATTTGATAAATGCGGTGACGCACATGCTAGGTGACGAGCGTGTGGGCGTGCACCGGTAGGGACTGTGACTTGGTCCGTCCCGTAGCGACTATTAAGCCGCGTACTTTATTTGGAAATGATATAATATTCTGGATTTTAGATCCCTATACTTTATTATGGGCTTTATGCCATGTTTGGGGCCTTGTACCGATCTGTAGCAACCCTTAGGGGCACTTTAACTATTTTCCTTACTTTACTTGTTAAAAACATAGCCTTAGTCCTGTTTTTACCTGTTAAATGTTTAAAACTGATTTTATCATTCTACTCCTATTGTGAGGACTGTTTGGGCCGAGTTCCCTATTTTCTGTTGTGATGCCCAAGAGGCTGTGAGGCTAATGACTGAGAGAGGTTGAGAACCTTATAGTGAGGATATTATATGCACATATTATGGATCGGGCTGCACGCTGCAACGATACTTATATGGATCGGGCCGCACGCCGCAGCGATATATATATATATATATATATATATATATATATATATATATATATATATATATATATATATATATATATATATATATATATATATATATATANAATATATATATGGATCGGGCTGCATGCTGCAGCGATATGACGCTTGGGTTGTAGGAGCCCCTCCGGAGTCTGCACACCCCCAGTGAGCGTAGTCGACTATAATTACATGGATCGGGCTGCGCGTCGCAGCGGTTATTATGATTTCTGTTAATATGAGTTAATACTGAGCCGAGTGCTGATAGTGAATATTGTGTGACTAGAGTTGAGTCCCGTGTGACTGATAGGCTGCCTGAGGGGCCATATTCTGAGTGATCCTTGCCCGAGGGGCCCTATTATGATATTTCTACTGTTTTCACTCTTTTTATAAATAAGCCTCCATTGGGCATATTGTCAAGTAATTGATTTCAAGTTTTAAACTGAAAATGATGAATTTATGACAGAACTGATTTTAGAATATATGTTTTGAACTGCTCGTCACTGCTTTCAGTCCATTATTTAGTTTAGTTACTTACTGAGTTGGCGTACTCACATTACTCCCTACACCTTGTGTGCAGATCCAGGTGCTCGAGAGGCCGAGTGAGAGCTTTCAGCTGTTTTTCCAGCATTCAGCGGGGATTTCGAGGTAGCTGCATGGCGTCCGCAGCCCTGATTTCTCCCTTCTAATCTTTTTATTTTTTCGCATTTCTAGACTATTTATGTAGCAAACTGTTCAGACTTGTATTAGAGGCTCTAGACTCGTGACACCAAATCAGTGTGGGCTGTGTAGTCTTTTATGTTTTGTTGACTTCCGCACATTTACCTTGCTGTTTTGAACACTTATTATGATAATTGGTGATTTAACCGTGTTAGCAAAGGACTATTAAATAAAAATGGGTTGTGGTTTGATAGTTGGTCTGGCTTGC